AAACTACTCAACATCACGGAGAAAGACTCACAAAGAAGGAGCCCCCATCTCGCCTCTGATGTTTTACCATTTCCACCTAACCGCACATATCCCTATACTATATTTTCCTTCTGATGCGTTAGTATTCAAAGGGTTTCTGGTGTTTTTTTCTTACATTTTTGCTATATATATATGGTATTAGTCGGTGTGAACGTCTCTTGTTTTGTTTTTCTTTTACTTCAAATTATCAAAGCGCGTGTATCTCTAGACCAATCAGCGGGGAGTTTGATCTTGTTTAGTTTCTTCTTGGATTCGAATATCTTGTTATCTGGTTTGGCAGCAAAACATCAATAAGAAGAAAGCTGGGTTTGTTATATTTCCCGCGTCGTTTCCTTCTTTGACTTTCTCTCTCTCTCTCTCTCTTTAAGTTGTAGGTTAGCTGTGGGTGTAGAGCTCCTTATTTTGGAGCTGGTGAGCCAGGTTCGAATCCCTGCGATACCACAAAAAGCTATGTGTGCGTTACAATAGTGGCAGTCAATTCCTTCGCGTTATATTAATTTGAACATCTAGAGGAAAGAGAGTGTAACTAAACAGCCCATCCATACCTTGGATGGCATTTAAAACAAGTTTTGAGGACAATTAGGCCAATAGCAACAAAAAAAAAATGCTGCAAATTACAATGTAGAAAGATGAAACGTGCCGTATCAAGAGAGTTGTCTCTGAAAGGACGGCCCTCACAATGCTTTCTGTTAAATTTAGTCTGTGTTCACAAACTTCACATGTACAATAAGATAAAAAAATAAAAGTTAAGAGCGTAAAAGAGTGCTCAAGTGTACAACATTCCTTATCTACGAACAATCAACCACCACCTGCAACCAGTTATAGAAGAGTAGTTGATTATAATGAAACAGGAAAGCAAAGAAAGAAAATTAGGAAAAAATAATAAAACATGTTACTTACCACTCCTGAAGTTGCCATTCTAGCTTCTATAATAGTCACCTGTATGAACGCCATAATAAAATCTCAGATGTCAATAACCACTACTACAAGAAAAATTAAAAATAAACTAAAATGGTAATGCACCCTTCCTGACCAATATACTGTTAACGTGGGTTATTAGAAGTAACCACTGACGCTATTTATAACTGCAAAACTTTGGAGTAATTTAGACTTTTGTAATATAGACATATAAACATATGATTAAGGCGAAAACCTGATCTTTATTAGAAAAGGTATGATTGAAAATAGAGTAGCTTGAAAAACGTCGTTTTTGTTCTCCAGCTGAATTTTTAAAATGACAATTAACAAAACACGTAAATTTTATTGATAAAACTAACAATCCTATCTATATATGTCCCAGATATAGACGGTATGTTTTCTTTAGACACGCGCGTTCGTTTGCTGATGATATGGATTTCTTATACTGTGAAATGAACGTTGAAATAATGGTTGTTTGTACGGTTTACAAAACGTTTCTTTCTCATTTTCTGTTATTACTACAGTATAGCAGCATACTGTTAACGATCTCTCAAGTGATAATCCAAACATTCTGTCAGTGGGAATGTTAAAATGTGCTACTGAAGTTGATTTTATAATCTGCACTTCCAATTATCAAATAATTCTTACACAGAAAAAAAAAAGTTTTAAAAATAATCAATGCAACGAAAGTAAGAAAAAGTCAAACAAGATGAGAAACACAAATTAACAATTAAAGCTTTATTATTAGCAACATTCCTTTTTACTGAAGATGTGCCTCAGAATAAGGCAACAACTTATTTAGTTAAAATATGATATTTGCATCAAAGTAAGGCAACAACTTATTTAGTTAAAATATGATATTTGCCTCAGAATAAGGCAACAACTTATTTAGTTAAAATATGACAAGTGCATCAGAATAAGGCAACAACTTATTTAGTTGAAACATGACAAGTGCATCAGAGTAAAGAATGCCTTAAAAGATTTGTTTTTGTGTACCTCAAGGAAACCATGTAGTTGTGTTTGAGAAGAACATTATAATTATATGAAAAGAATCTGATCTGTGTGAATGAAATTTAGATATAGTTAAAGCCTTTCTAAACAAATAATACAAAAACTACATTTATTGAATATCTAAGAACTTTTTTCTGTGTGTATTGATTCATACTCTTCAATACAAGTCATTTTTTTTATAATTATTGTTATTTTATATTTTGTTCCAAAATTAATCGTAACATCTTTCACGAGACTATTTTGCAAGTTCCCACGTGCTAAGCATGGTAATGAAGCTTAAATTACTTATACATTGTTCTATTGTAACTTAACGGGATACTAACCTCTATACATTGAAACGTTGTTTATTAAATTAAATACTTTTTCATACTCGCTGTCAATCCCTCTTCTTCGATTTATTTTATGGGATCCTCACTTCACTATTCTTATGTATAGTATATTTTCTATAATATTAACTTAAAGCCAGAACTTATGTTACACACTCTAAAATGTAACGTTAGCATAAACATTATTATAATTAGCTACATAAAACATTTTAATGAATTAACGTCAGAAATTGGTTCTGGTGTTTGTATGGTTAATTCGGCATATTTGTGTGTATTAAATAGAAACTGGGTCAATTAATTAGTGACTAAACTAAAACTAAGGGCGATTTGGTAGGAATGTAATGCGTCCACTTTAACTAGATTAATTAAGAGTTTACTTTGTCTGAGATTACTTTGCTCGTTTATTTAATTAAGTAAGTTTCGTACAGCAAGTAAACTAATCACCACCCTGACCAAATTAAACTTATCTATTTTCTCGCTTTAGACGTCTGACGGATGAAGAAGACGAGTTATCAGAGGTCCAGCCCGATGCTGTACCAAATGAAGTTCGTGATTGGTTGGCATCAACTTTCACCCGCCAAGCGGCAGCACAGAGAAGACGATCCGAGGACAAGCCTCGTTTCAGATCTGTAGCAAACGCTATTCGAGCAGGAATTATGGTTGACAAGTACGTTTTTCCATCTAGTGGCAAATTTATAAACATTTAAATGTTTTATGGTGTACATTGCAGAGAAATGCAATTATCTTACTATTTATAAATACCCTAAGGTCACAAACTGGTGTATAGCAGCTCCATCTGATGGTGCTCTTTGTCCAAAATATTGTTATATTTTATCAGTATTATTGAGTTGAAATATCAATATCATATGATATTATCACTAGTTAACTGTAAAAGTGAAAACTTCTAATCCAACTCTTTTCGGCCTAATATTATGTTTCAACTGTTAAATTTGTTGTCATTTTTCCTTATAAGGACTATCTGTGGTGATTTAGGGAAATTAAAAATCCTGGACCACGTTGCTATTCATTTGGATAAGAGTAAATATTAACTAAGCCTAGATTATTCCACACAACTCGCCAATGAAATATCTGGGTTTTTTTTCACATCGATATTCGAGTTTATTTACGTTCTACTTGATTTTATAATGAAAAATACTGTTAAATATCAATTCTATAAAAAAAGATTTACGCGAGGCAGTTTGAGAATAATGCCATGTATTAAAGTATCGTTTTGACATTCTTTCTTTTCATAATATGTTTTGTGAACTCAAAATTTAAATTATTTCAGTAAATAAACACTTAAATATACAACTCAATATACAGATTATGTGTTCAGCTGTGCTGAATAAACGCTCTTATTTCAGACATAGTTTGATTGCATGCTATCACAATGAATTTCACCTTTGGAACATCACAATATTTTCACACCGAAACTAAAGGTTCCCGTGTCTTCGTTATGACCTTAACCGACTTACTTTGAATTATTAAAAAAAATGATGTATAATTTCTTTGCTTTCACTATTCTATTACTTTATATCTTTAGGAATTTGTACTTTCCACATACCTGAACAAAAGATCATACATTAGTGCTCAGGCAAGGTTAATGATGTGCTTTGATAAAAAAAAGGTCTTCGGATAAAGTCTAGTTTAATAATATGTTTAACGAAATAAGTTTCTTTCAATGTTTTTTGTTGTTGTTGTTGTTATAAGTGAGGAAAATGCCATTCTACAACAACAATGGTCAAAACAATTAAGGTATAATCGAGTTTTTCTATACTTCAGCTTTAATAAGCCATAGCTACTGCTATTAAATAAAAGTAACTGCACACCTGAGTTAATTTTTATGCAAAAATTGCGTCATTTCATCTCATATGCGAATTTCAGAGGTTTATAAAAGTGAATGAAACGCAGTATGTTCCCAATTAGCAGTTTTAACAAGAGCAGAGTGTTTAAAGAGACTCAGTTTGATAGCGGAAAATGCCAGCAACCTAAAAGACGGCATTCGGGCATTTTCATGACATAGCTAGCAATAGGTCGGTTAGAAAATAGTCAACCGTAACAAGTCCTTGAAGAGGGGCTACGATTCTCACTAAATGTGGTTAGAAGGTTGTGAACATGCTTTAACATCACTAATACAGTTAGTTAGCCGGAGATGTGGATAGGTTATACCTTTACCAACGAGTAGACAGCTATTTTATAATATAGCCTCAACACTACCGACGAACCTCAGCTTCCCATCTAAGGCAAAAGCTCAGAGCACTATCAAGATGACAAGTCAGCACATAAGTGATCAGAAGTAGGCTTCATTTGGTTGGATTTTATTCCTGATGACCAATCTTGTGCGCCCTCTAATCCATCGTAATTGAATTGATCAAACAGATCATGATATACCTTGTGTTTAGACGAATAACTCTTCTTATTGCAGCCTGATGCGACACGACTGGAAAGTTGCCATGACCAAACGTAACCCCAAGTTACCAAAATTGTGCTGACATATCTGGTCAAAACTCAGTACTGGTGGCTACTTTGGCCTTTAAGTGATTAGAGGTGGACTATGAATGTATTGAGGTTTACAGATGCCATCTAACAACCAATACTTTTGCCAATGCAGGTGCAGCTGGGCAGAACTTTTTTACAGTGAATAATATTAATATTGTTTAATAATAAACTTGTCATAGCCAGTTTAAAGAAACTCCTGGTTATAGCTTAAGTTATTTTGAGCAGTGTGTAATTTATTATCAAAAGACTGTGCCGGCATAACGTAAAATATGCCATGTTTGGTTTGACAAGTAACATTGTGGTCTGCAAAGAATGACAACTATTTCAAATGAAATTTGAAACGGTTCAAATTATTATACACCTATGACTATTTGATAATTATAACAAGTTAAAATTTCTTTCTGTGTAAAAGTAGTAGAGTTAAATGTACACATGATTGAGTACGTTATGTTAAAACAATTAGGAATACGCGAATCAAAAGGTCACGTGACAGCCAATATAAGGTCACGGTTGAATTTTGTACTTTGTATATATTAATATCAGCAATTTCCCATAAACATAGCCCATCATCCAGACGTTTTTGCATTTCTCAAAGAAAAAAAAAAGATTTGGGCGTGGTGATTGCCCTTTCCAGCCACCCACCCATCCCCAACTGGCACCATTATGCTAATAGCTTCCATGACATATCGGTTCAATTGTCGCATACCTCAAGCAGTTGAATAATTAAACGGGTATTCATGTTATTCCTTACGAAGACATACTGGTCAAACTTGCCAGACTTATCACCTATGGACTTCTGTGCGATTTGGCTGTTGAAATGGGTTTATTTTGGAGCCTCGTCGTCACAGTATCACGCCCGGTTGTGCTATGTGTGACGATTTTGTATATCTTTATAGTAGCTCTGGAGCGTAGTTTCCATGGTAAAATACTTCAGTGTGACACTCTTATGTCCAAGGCACGCCACTATTCACTGCTAGTTTTCTATAATACATCTAGTGTACGAGGTTTTAATATACCGTACTTATGCTCTGTAACATACCCATCCCACACACACCACAAATTTATATATTTACGTCACTTTTAACAAATGAAGGTTTAAAATGTAGGTGACCTAAATTGTGTTTTTTCTATAATTAGTATTTATATCAAAAAGTAAAAAGCTAAAACCGTTAAGATGACATTGAAATTCAACTTTTACAAAATCTAACTTCACGCATTAAGCTGAACATTTCTAAATGCTAAATTGTCGATTGTGTTTGACCAACTGTAATAACGTGTAGCTTTAAGTTAGCTTTAATCTAACATACTTCACATCTGTATTCATTGAAGTCTACAGAACTACCCCTTCAACACAATGTTTTATTTCTCATTGTTAAATTGTAGGTTTATGTTTTATGAAAATTAATAACTAAATTTAATGATTATACCGCTGCTTAATATTTCAGAATATATAGACGGATGTCTAGCTCGGCTGTGATGCAGATTCCAAACCAAATTGCCCAACATCTGAAGGTAAGAAATGAGAAATAAATATGAAATTACATAAGTCAAAAATATGATCTTCTTGGGCAAAAATTGTCACGTAAAAGTGATACATTGGTTGGAGAATTTAGTTTCTATTGCAATGAGATGTTTTCTGCGGATTAAAGTCATTCTATGAGTCAAAGCGAAACCAACCTAAACATTTAAAATTTTATCAAAGGTAAGACTTCACTTATTTTCAGATATACTCCACAGTGGCTCAGCTGTATATTTGAAGGCTTATAGCGCTAAACACCGGGTCTCGATACCCATGGTTAGCACACCACAGATAGCCAATTGTGTAGTTTTGTGCTTAACAACAAATAAAAAGATTTTAACATATTATTGACCAATGAATATTCCCTGGTTCGGAAATTTTTTTATACATTTTATAAAGCTGGTTTTTATGAGCCAGGCGTGGCTCGCTGGTTAGCATGCCGTACTGTAAATGCATGTCCCCGTTGCCGAAAAATCGCGTTACGCACTTTAGGATCGTGGATGCGTTATAAGATTAAAATATAAAAAAAAACACTATTCGTTAAGAGTAGCCCAAGAGTTGTTGTTATATTAAATAGTAACTTATAGAAACAAGTGAATTATTATATCTACCATAAATAGATTTAGTAAATGAAATCCCGCCACTACAAATTGTATATTTTTGCTTGCAGAAGCTTACTCTAAGTAACAAATTGAGTATCATACTACGTGGCGCCATCTCATGGCCAATAATTACAATACTCAATAGTGTGGTGTAAAAGTCTTTAGGTCTAGGAATTAAAGATGTACGTCATGTTGAACTGGTTTTGTTTCCATCACAGTACATTTCATTGATTTGTTACGCACTTCAGATGACACCAGCGCTGTATAAAAATAGCATTTGTCATGTCTCATTACTCTGCTAATATAAGACTTCTATATATAATAAGACTTCTACTAATAGCACATGCTATACAAATAATATTCCTACTAATACTACATGTTTTGGATATTACTATGTAGAATAAGAATGCTTGGTTATGGGCAGAGTTTTAACTAAAATTAAATATTTTAGAGAATTAGAACATATGATTAACGGAGATTTGGAGATGCTATCGCTTTACGTTTCATCTCTCTCCTCCAAATGACTACATGTTTCTATTATTTTTCTTTCAGAATATAGACGAATGGAATTTTGATGTATTTTCTGTAAACAAAGTAGCCAATGGTCAGGTCCTCCGCTATGTTGCCACTGATCTTTTAAATCGATATGGGCTGGTTCACAAATTTAAAGTAAGTAAAATATATATAAACTTTCCAGTTTTAACAATATTCTAAAACAGGAGTATAAGATGTAACATAGAACTGAATATTAGGCGCAGTGCCATGGCATTATTCACACACACTTAAATTAACTTAGGTTACTGTAGGTTAGTTAAAAAAGACTTAAAAAAACGACAATAAATATTATATACGTATCACCATTATAAGTGGTCTAACTGTATCTCTTTAGTTCGCTGACCCAAGCTGTGCTGATGAGCAGCCTTCAATAGGTGAAACTAGTCCACAGCAGACGGGTGAATCAAAGGACATATTAGGCCTCTACGTTACAGATTATATTTTCAATTTCTCCTTTGACGAAAAGGAAAGAAATCTGTAATATAATAATTAAACAGTTGGTCAGCTGTATAATATCAAATAACGAATTAGGCGTAATGCCATAATATTATTCACACACCTAAATTAACTTGGGTTACTATATGGTGACGATTGGTAAGGTAAAAGAACTCAAAAATCCCATAAATGTTAAATAGAATATCATCACTGATAATATTTGAAGTTACGTCTTCGATTGCGTGAAATAAGGTGCATGTGAGCCTGTGATTTTGTTTTCCTTTTTTTAATCAAGAAACGATTATTGTCATTTACTAACTTCGTGTATATTACGTTTTTACTCCGTATATAATGCGAGCACAACTAAATTCATATTGATTTAAGGCCCGGCATGGTCAGGTGGATAAGGCGCTCGACTCGCAATCTGAGGGTCGCGGGTTCGAATCCCCGTCCCACCAAACATGCTCGCCCTTTCAGCCGTGGGGGCATTATAATGTGATGGTCAATCCCACTATTCGTTGGTAAAAGCGTAGCCCAAGAGTGGGCGGTTGGTGGTAATGAATAGCTGCCTTGCCTTTAGTCTTACACTGCAAAATTAGGGACGGCTAGCGCAGATAGCCCTCGTGTAGATTTGCGCGAAATTCAAAAACAAACAAACATATTGATTTAGATGTAAAATGCGAGCAATCTTCCTTATTAGGCCTAGCACATAATACTTTCAATGATTTTACTTTATTAAAGCTTGTTTTATTCATTTTGGTTTTACCTAGAGTTTAAGTGCATGCGTTTCAATATATTTTAAGGAAATAAATTCTTTTAAATTAATTTATTTTATTTAATAATTGTCATTACTTCCAGCTAACGTGTACAATAAAATGCTACTTTTTTCAGATCCCAGTCAATATTCTTGAAAACCTCTTAATTCAGGTGGAATTAGGCTATTGTAAACACAAGAATCCATATCATAATAACATCCATGCTGCTGATGTCACACAGACCGTCCACTACATGCTTTGTCAGGGGGGATTAGCGGTGAGTAGTTGTGCTGAAAATATAGATTTCAACTTATTGGTTAATATTTTTAATGACTAATTTTTCACATTTTTAGGAGCATTATTGTTCAGAAAATACAATAAGATACTGACTTATTCTACCTTTTTGCGTTTTTTTACAGAGTTGACCTGTAGTTTAAAAAATCTGATTTGGTAAACGTATAGATTAGTGATTCAAGGTATTTTAGCTATATTTAATTATAATAACATAGTTTTAAAAGAAAGCATTATAAACTACGAATGAAAAGCGCCAAAATTACTATTATCACTATTTTTTATTAATTTTAGATAAAATGTATTTCATAGGAATGACCATATTAATGTTTCACGATCGATCGCCATTACGATACTTAAGGATACTATAAATACCACAGTGTTTTTACTGAAGTAATCTTGTATTAATAATAGGTTTATTAATGGCTTTAAGTCCTCCAAAAGAATACTGGGTAAGTTATCAGAATGGCTCTCGGGTAAGTCAGGTATTAAGATTATGATTGTAAAAATCAGCTTCTTTTAGTTAAACGAAGTGGATAAAATGTCCGTATAAATAATTAGGGATTCCTGGTTATATATTTAGCATTGCCTTTAATGACTATCAGTAGTGCTCCAGCTATTTTTCTTCTGCTGACATCTAGTTCTATTTGTATGAACTAATGTAAATACTTTTATATCGAAAAAAACCGGCAGAGAAATGAACTTCAGACTTAAGCCTAAAGGACCCTCACATATTTTTAATCATTCCAAAGAAACAAATTATTACTGAAAACAATGTCCTGCCCATTCTTTCCCTGAATCACATGATTTTAACAGAAATGTTTACAGATCTCAAAATCAATGATGAAATCTGAATGGTTGAGCACAGACTTTGCAGTTCCGTAATTGCATACGATTAAATCATCATCTCGTGGTTAAAAGGGTATAAATCTTTACCAGAATAGTCTGCAGGAGTTATTGATCCTATTTAAACTTGGATCATTTGCAAATGGTGCAATTCATGTAATTTTATAGTGGTTGTCAAGTTTTACATAAGTAAACTTAATATTAGGCTTATATGTCGGAACTTTAATCTATGTATGCCTAAACCTGAAGTTTGTTATTTTGGAATGTGAAGTTACTAATATGAATTCTGTCGATCTATCACTGTTTATGTTTACATCCGGGCATTCTGATGCGTCACTGAAACTGGTAGGAAAAACGGTGTCACAAAGCATCATCTGTCGACATTTTTCTTTATTAACTGTAGATGGAGCCCCGCCAGGCCGGTCGCGAAATCAGTTGCCGATATGCCTCTGGAATTACAAAAACAAGGAAAGTGTAAAGGAGACAAAATGTAAACGATCCATAATGTCGATGACAATCGAAAAATACATTCTTTACCACATATACTGTGACGTAATCATCAACAAAATGTCTGAGAACTATCGTTTTAATTTTCAGTAACTTACACAGTAATTATGTTGTACTTGCATGGAATAAAGCATAGGAGAAATAATCATATATTTATAATGCTAACAAAGCCAAAACTGGAATAGACTGCATAATCGCGTTGCCAAAAATACGACAAAAACAAAAAATATATTGGTTTTAAAATCTTGAACGTCATCTTCATCAGGGTAGGAAACCTGAGTATCCTCCCGTCATCCGCAACACAAAACCCTTTAATTATGGAACCTGTGCAATTTTTTCCAGGGACTCCGCCCCCTCCGTCGTTTTATTTTTCGTCTTTTTTTATTGGTATTAGATTTACTAGGCTCCAGTAAGAAATCAGCCAGATCTAATTAATATAGGAACCTTGACTTGACAGCCCTACAACAATATTATCTTAAGTTAACTACTGAAGATAGCTGGGGTCTAGTCCTTGACCACTAAGTTATGACAGAATGCAGGATCAACAATCCTAATAAATGATCAAATACCAGCTTTGAAACATATATAATTATTTAATCATCAGCCCCGGTTCCTGAAAATTTTAATTTTCATAACATGAAGGACAATAAATCACTGGACGCCAACAGCTGTTTTGTAAGCGGTCTTGTAGGCCTACACCTGATGTATTATCATGCTCTTCAACGAAAAACGAGAGGATATTATTACAGTATAATGTACATGTTTGGCATGGTATAAATTTATATACATGTAAACCTTTTTTCTTCGTAGTCCCATCTAGTGAGACAGATTACATACACACACAAGAGGTGCTAGTTTATATTAAAATGTGACTGCTATTTTCAAAATGTTTCACTTTCACCTGTTGTAATATCGTGGTAAAATATATAATGGTATACTAAGAAGATGTGATCAAGACAAACTCATAAATCGTGCGGCTACTAGTAACGCTGGCTCTAGTTTTTGTCTACCAGTTTTTCTATGTAAATAAGTACCCTGATGTATGACATCAACGTGATTTCTCGTATAGGGGTTTCTCGCGATACAAACGTAAATAGCTCAAAATTAAAGTTATATTTATGTCAGACAACTCTTTGATAACAAGTATTATGATACATACATCCATTTTTCATAGTGAGTATGTTCGTATGCTTCATGGAATACCTTCGTCAGTTTTATTTTCTTAGGATATTCGTCATTAACCGCAACGATACCTAAGCTAGTTTCGCAACTCGGCCTAAAATTGAGTGTTTTTCTTTACATTCGTAAAATCTTCAGAAATATTAGGTTTAATCTTGAAAGTTGTACACGTAGTCTTTTTTTTTCTCTAACGGTTAATTACTGCAAAGGAAATTAATATACTAACTATTTTCTAATAAGCTATGGAAATAAAATTAACATAATTGGGTATATGCAATATGTGTATTAAAAATAGCTTAAGATTTGACTGTGTTGTTGTTCTTGAAATTAGTGTGTGTGTGTGTGTTTTAGTATGAATTTTAAAATCGTTGGTACACACGAATTGCGATTTTTTTACTTGGAGTGGTGTGGCAAAGTAAGAAAAAAGTAAAGACGTGTGTTTGGCTAGGAACATCAGAAGCGAGAAATTAATTGAAAATATCGCTATGTGAAAGGAAAGCTTATAATTGGTGCAAAAGTGATAGACTGAAACGTTTTTGTGCGTGCATACCAGCATAAGCCATATAAAAGCTGAAAAACTACACAATATGGTAACAGCCAATTTCTGTGATTCTAATCCTTATCATCGTTTCACCGCCTCCCAAGTGTGCATAGTCCTGGTCATTTTTTCACTAACTTAGCCCAAATGTGGGTAACCCATATCAACCTTTAATTACCTCAACCCAAGTGTGGATAATTTTGATCATTTTTTCTTCACCTTAGCCTAAGTGTGCATTATACTGATCATCACTTCACACATTAGTATTTTATAAACAGAACAGTTAGGTTGAGTTTGGCATTTGAAAGAGAGGAATAGTGAATCAATAGCATTTCCTTATCTTCTATGATCATTTACAATTCAACAAACAAAACCGCTGGTCGTAGAAAATAGACAATATTAGAATTTGGAAGGTAAATTTAAATTATCTATCTTGTAATAACAGTATTTGGTGACCAAACATTTTAGGCTTCATTATCCTCTTAATAAAGGTATGTAACCATTATAGGATCTGTAATGCCAACTTAATAAATTAAATTTTATTAATCACACCTAGTGGTCTGTTTTTAGCAGCCCTTTTTCATTACTATTATTTTTCGTTTTTTTATGTTATGTTTCGTTAAAAAACATATCTTCTCACACTTGGATAGAAATGGTAATTACACCTTTAGATGTGAAATGTTATGAGAAGTTTACACATCGTTTTATATTTTTTCTAAAGTTTTATTCATTTTTAGTTTAGTTTCAGTTCAAGTTTGACCACTGTGATAGACGTTGTGTCTCGACCTCTACTCAGATCATGTACTTCAACCAGCAGTTCTCTCATTGTGGATATATTTTTCTATTCCCACACTATTATTGGTCTGACTTTTAGTTTTAGTCACGGCGATTTATTGTATAGGAATTTCCTGCGATACAATTCGAAATAATTCAGATTTCACGAATGGAGAAAGTTGATGTCAAGCTGATGTATACAATATGTATTTATATATATATATGTATGTACAATCTAATATGAAAGTACATAGGAAATATAATTCGATAAGGCATAAAATACTAATGTAATAAGGTTTCTTGATTTTTACAGTAAATATTTATAACCCAGAATGTACAAGTATAGCTAGGTTTCAGTAAAAAGTTATTAATAACTTTTATCTTATCTGGAGTCAAAGCTCTCCCTCTTAAACGTTATCTATAACGCAGCTACACTTGGTTTCAGTAAAGACTTGTTTATCTCATCAGACTAATTGTGTTAATTTCTGACATTTGCACTAATTCTTAACACTTTTTTCATATATGAGTTAACCTTCTCGCACAAAATATAATTTTAATTAATTTTCCAATTATTTTTTATTAGCAAATACACGATTAAAATTCCATCTGATAATAAATAATATTTATATATTAACCCCATTTATCTTTAAATGTTTACTTAACTGAAATATAGTTAAAGCATCACCTTCTCAGTCTTGTCTCTCTTAATTTACATCCTTTATTCAATATTACCCAACTCAGGTGTGTATTGCTGAATCGGGTTTCAAAGAGGGGTGTTTTTAAGGCATGTCCTTAACAATGAATAACTAAATAAACCTACAAAATGAAGCAATAGCTTCAGCCTTCCTTTCCATTTTCGCCATATTTTCTAAGCCTACAAAAAATAATTATATAAAACAACTGCTACAAAAAAAGCCTATGAAACATCACACTGCACAATTTTCATACCATTGACTTTAAGACCTTATCTGTGTATACAACAATCCTTATTCCTTTCCTGTAGTCATGTAACGATCCTTCCTCGTGGCTTTTTGCTCCAACATCTTCTATCACTTACCCCTAATTAATACACTTCAACTCTTTTGCTGTTAGCCTTTTCTACAAGTTACTGTCTTTTACCTTACTCTTGTCTTTCACCGTTTTATTCTATCTAACCCAGTTTACTATCTGAAATTGTTGTCTTACTTTTTTCTTTATGTGTCTCTTCCATTCCTTCACCTTTTCACCTCTCTGATATTAAACTTCCGACTCCTTTGCCTTGCCATCTCGACAGACCCCTCCAAAAGGAGGAAGAAGAACTTTTCGCGAAATGGTAACAGCAGATAAACAGGTAGGTGAAAACCAACTAAACCCACTACAACGAGCTAACACAATAAAGGTTCGTTAAAAATATACCCTTTGTGGAGATAATTAATGACTGATGTTCGAAATTGTGTTGTTTTATTTTCCCCTTTTTTTAATTTGTGTTTAGCATACCGGCTTGTGGATCTGAAAATTCATTGTACCTGCCCCCGTTAACGAAAAAAATTGAACTCTGCATTTTTGGGACTGTGGGTGACGATCAAATCGCACTATTCGACTAGAGTGGCCCAAGGGTCGGCTGTGGGTTCTGTTGATTAGCTGCCATCCCTATAATCTGTTAGTTCCATATTAGGGACATCTAGCGTAACTTTGTGCATATATCTGAAACAATTAATCAGTAGTTCATATAAATGGAATATTATGTTTGTATGAAGCTTTGAATAAGTAAGGCATTACATATTGATTAAATTTTTAATATGCTCTAACTTTGACCATAAAAACAGTACCTTAGGGAATTTTTTAGGTTTGTTTTCGGACAAGTCACTGGTATGTAACTTGTTTATAAAGCTGCGTGCTCACGATAGAAACTGATAAACCAACGCAAGTCAGATCACATTAGCTAGAGAGATAAATAGTAAGAAAATCAATCCAACGAAGATAACCGGGAAGAGAGAGAAAGATAGTCAGAACCAGTAAATGAAAATAATGATGAGATGATTTATCCTAAAAGCTTTACAATATTTTATTTAACTAACCTACCATTTGATGTCGAGGAACCAACTTTGATTAGAGATGACTTGAATTGGTTACGAAGACAACTTTATCACAAGTTTAACTCGATAACACACGTACAATGTTTCCAAAAGGTTTCAAAACATTGTACATTTATTACTGTGGTTAACTTATAATAAAGTTTTATTCGTTATTAATTCAAGCCGTCTCTAACCTTTTTTAACCTACCGTTTACTGTGGAAAGTTTGTCTTTATACACGATTATACTCCACAGACACTTTGCCGGTTATCAGCAAACACTTTTTGTACTGACAGAAAACCAATATGTCAATCATGCAGTTGACTTATTAACGAGAGGTTTTATCCCATCATTCTATCATATTTTTTTAGTTTTCGTTTACTATGATAGACTAATATTATGCCAGTCTATTGGTAACAAAAACGAGGGTTAATTCTTATTTTATAATACATACTCTAACATGCTTATATTTTGCCTAGGGGAACTAAAAGGTGTTTTGCGTTTAAACGTTTTCATATATATTTTCATTAGAATAGTTAGAGCTCGAAATCAAATTCTTAATATCTAATTGCAAGCTCTAGCTATTGTAATGACATACCAAACGTAATAAGATGATTCAATCTATTAGACATTTGCACAGTTTTCAAAGACTTTTTGTTTCGTTTTCTTCAGAACTGGCTAACAGATCTCGAAGTCTTTGCTACATTGTTCGCTGCTATTATACATGACTTCGAGCACACGGGAACAACAAACAACTTCCACGTCATGTCCGGGTAAGTACCTGTCAGGATATGTATATAATACACTATGTTGCCAAAACGCTTGAGGCAGCACACCCTGGAAAGGGAATTAATATCGTGTTTCATCGCTAGTGTCCTATCTTAATAGGGATTGGATCAACCCTTAAAGTTAATCATCGCACGGACTTTTACTAACGTTATCAATAACAGTTACACATTTATTGGAACAGGCTACCACTCTTCTATAACAGCATCTCCAAGTGTAAAGACATTTCAGTATCTGTCCTTTATGTCGTGAGGCGGCGCTTTTTAAACCTTCTAGGACGATTTGGTTGAATTCAGACCAAATAGGGTATGTTAATTAAAACTGCGGACAATAGGCA